AAGTGTTTTCATGATGACAGTTGGCACCTGTCATTTGCCCATTTTGACGAAAGATAATAGAGATAAAACCCTACAACTTTTGTATTTAACTTTTTTTTGTATTTTCTTTTGTTTAAGTTGTAGCAGACGCACTAATTATAAGGAACAGACCCTGTACAATTATTTCCGCTAGTGGTTTACCCCTCGAAGGTCCCTGAGCGGCTTGAAATACTAGAATTACGAAATTTTTCTGCATATGGTTAATAATTGATGCTTGATTCAATGATGACAGCGACAATGTTGCAAAGTTTACCGGGTTTCAGATAAGGTAGGTTTTAATAGGAATACCACTTTTTTTTCCTCAGTAGAGAGCTTACGAGGGTTCTAGTTCAAGAAAAAGAGGAGACAAAGAGACATTACCCCTATCTCTCAAGACACTACATATACAACCACCACCCCTACCGCGCCCTTTATCCCTCTATCACGCCCTCTACCCTCCTCTATCCACCTACCACTCATGCTGGTTTAGCTTGTTTTGTGCTGGTTTCCACTGGCTTTGTACTGGTTTGGCTGGTTTTGTGCTGGATTTTGCTGGTTTTATGCTTATTTAGTTGGGTTTTTACTGGATTTGTTCTACACATAAACAATTTTTATTTTTTTTAACAACAACCACGACGTGAAAACACAACAAGCTTGACTTGACAGTTTCTACATTTCGCTTCTGCGCATGATTACTCTAAAATTCTTTTTCCGAGGAGAAACTTTTGGAGTGAACTCCATTCACTCCACTCCGTATACTCGAACGCTAATGGAGTCAACCCTGTCCCTAATACGCCAAAAAGCAATACCCGAACGACTGAAATGCGAATGGAGTCACTTGGAGTGCACGGAGTGAGAAAGCCGAACTCACCATTAGACGAGAATGGACAGTGATTTGGTAGACACATCACGTTTTGGCAAATTTCTTTATACGAGAAAGAAGAAAGATATAACGTAGAAAAACGGAAAAAGACAACCAATGACAATGACAGCCGACAAACGATTGACACAAAACAAGAATTGTAAGCAAAGAGGATTGCCTATAATTGTCAAGCGTCGATACCCTCTTGTGTGTCGTCACTACAGATGCGTATTGCGCGTCTCTATTTTGTGTGGACCTTCGTCTTTACCCCGACTCATATTCTATGTTTAAAAGGGTATGAGGGGGGCACATGATTTTTTTTTTAAGATGATGTTTCTCTGAAAACTTTCACTTACTAATTCCATCTGCAAATTACACCTCTGGGTCATCAGCCGATAATATTAAAATTAAGCTATTATGATTGTGAAAATCTATTATCTCACACGCGTTATCGTTTTTCCACTGTAAAATTATTATTTTTTTATCTGTAGAGCTTAAACAGTAGTTTAGCAACGCAAATATTATTTGTTTATAAACATATACACACACGCGAGAAAAAAAAAATACGTAAAAATAATTTTTCAATTTAATTGCCACAGATTTTTGCCCGGTTTTGTTTTAGGGATTTTACACAAATTTGATATTGATTAGCATGAGGAAACATTACAAAAAATTCTACTGTGGATTTTTCCTGGAGCTTGATATGACCTTCTCTCCCCCATAATTATAGGGAATGTATAACAAACCATCCTTCTAGAATTCTAAGGCTGAAATTCTATATTGTGTGGCTTGCTTACACGCTGTCTGAGCTTCAACAATAGAAATTCTATATGCGTCAGTTTCGCATATGATCGGAATTACACGGGGGTCGTTTTTCCCATCCAATAACATAATCTCGGATAAAATTTAAAGGTGTTCAAAATATATGCACACATCTTCTAAAAAAGTTCTCACTATGTACCAGAGCTGGGCAGGGCTTGAGTGCTTTGTGCTTGCGAAAGTGCTTGAAGCACTTTGAGGGCTTGAAAGCCCTGTGCTTCAAGCCCTTTTATAAATTTGTAATTAGGGCTTGCAAAGTCAATTACTTTAGAAAAGTGCTTGGTAATTTGTAATTGAAAAAAGTAATTCAAGCCCTTTCAATGAGCTTCAATTACTTTTAGAGGGCTTGAAGCACTTTTGGGAGCTTGAAGCCCTTTGAAAGGGCTAGAAGCACTTTAAGAGGGCTTGAAGCACTTTTGGGAGCTTGAAGCACTTTGAAAGGCTTGAAGCACTTTAAAAGGGCTTGAAGCACTTTGAAAGGAATTTGAATTGAACATCACTCAACCTATCCCCCACTTGAAAATTTTCGATCGTGTTTTGTGAATGAACTTATTATTCAAATAAATAATTAATTTATATTGGTATAGTTTTTCCAAATTCAATTGGAACAAGGTGCCAACTGGTGGCTGACTGGTCACTGAAAATTTCCATAATAAATGCACTGCCACTAGTCAGTCACCGGTTATAATATATGCTCACCTTGTTCCAATTGACTTTGGAAAAACTATAACCTATTTAACTTTATCACTGGATTTTTTCCACTTTTCCCAATTGAACATTTTGAAAACTTTAAAATTGAATTACCATGTAGTACCCCAAGTACCCCAGAACTACATCTCAAAAAAAACATACTACTGCTACTCTGTGAAATGTAAAGTTCGTCTCTACTATACCAATTCTGTGTGATGACTGTACGCGGTAGCTTATGCCACTTTGAGAATTTTATTAGAAATTCAAAGTGCTTTAGGCACATTTAAAGAGCTTCAAGCATATTTAAAGAGCTTCAAGCACATTTAAAGAGCTTGAAGCACATTTAAAGAGCTTGAAGCCCTTTTCAAGGCACCCCAAGCACTTTTGATGTGCTTCAAGCACTTTTCAAATCACTTTGAGGGCTTTGTGCTTGTCAAGCCCAAAGCACTTTGAGGGCTTTGTGCTTGTGAAGCACTTTTGAAAATAAAAAGGAATTTGTGCTTGAAATTGAAGCACTTTGATAGAGGGCTTAGGGCTTAGTGCTTCAAGCCCTTTTACTGAGGGCTTTGCCCAGCTCTGCTATGTACAAACCTGATAATATAAATGGGTATTTTTATTTGGTAAATCCTCTTTTGCGGATGATTCAACCACCGTTATATATGTGGGATGGATCTTGTACAACTTTCCTTTTATATTAAATTGTTCAACCTAATTTAAAATCCATAAAACATTGTTTTTGGTTCTGTAGAAAAATAAAAGTGTCATAACTTGAAAATGTAATTTCTCAATAAATTTGTTTTGTATATGATTAATAATGAGCTTCATAAATCATTCGTGTACGAGATATTTTTGACAGGCCATTAAATAATATTTTCAAAGAATATTTATAATTTTTTTGTTTCTGTTTTATGTAATGCACAGATCAATCAAGATTTTATATGAAAAATTCTCAAGTTGCTGACATCGACTTCAATTTTGAAAAGTTTCGATGCCAGATTTGCATTTCCAAATTTTCATGTTCTGTTCGTGTTCCAATTTCAGGTTTCATTGTTCTCCTTCTGTTTTTATAGATTCTTTTAAACCCCGTTTCGTCTATCAGTTTACACGTCAAAAAGTCATCATATTCCTATTAGCCCAAGAAATTTATGGGTTTTTCAAAAAATTTTGCGAGGGCAGGCTGATTTTTTTCAGGGCTGATTGGAGACTGTGTCCAAAAAATCACACTCGAAAACCTTGTGCGTTCGGCCCTATTGACTTTTTTCTTATTTATTTTTTTTCGACAAAATGACCTCAACAAAACTTGTAGATAATAACATTCTGATCAACTTTGCCTCATGCCTTTTTTTGCTAGCTATTTTAGTTTAGACGTTGCGGCCATTTTAGTGCTCCAGAATTCGCAAAAAAATTAAATAGCAAACCTGCAGATTATTGTAACTTTAATAAAATTACTGGTAATGTACTCCATTACGTTTTCGGTTTCTGTCCAAGAAATGATACATTACATCACTAATCCGGTAAAATTATTTTCCCGGAGTGAAAGCCTGAAATCGAAATTATGTTTTTTTTTACAATACTGGGACCTGTTACCTGTTTGAAAAGTGACGAAATGTTTTTTCTTTCTACAATCGGCCTAGAAAGTAGACTTTGTCGATTAGATTTGTGCTCGCAAAGTAGACGTTTCCTGATGACCTCCACTTTGCCGCTTTAGAGCGTCAAACTACGTCAAAATCCTTCACTTTGTCGCTCTAGAGCGGCAAAGTAGTAAAAGCGCTTGCTTTTACTACTGGTTTCTTTGAACCTGAACTATTTTTTTATCAAATGCGATTGTAAAAAAAATCAAGTGTGCATTTGCTAATATCAACAATATCTTTCGATAGGCAAATTTCGCGAAACGCCACATTTTACTTGCAAAATGTGTCAAATCCTTAGAAACGCTATGCATGCCACAATGTCCACCAGGTCAAATAAAAATTTTCAAATGCCTAAAAAGCCATACAAGCGAAAGAAATAAAGTTACAATAAAATATCATCAAGCAAAGTAATACAGAATTTTATTAGGTATAATAATCTGCAGGTTTGCTATTTAATTTTTTTGCGAATTCTGAAGCACTAAAATGGCCACAGCGCCTAAAGTAAAATAGCTAGCAAAAAAAGTCATTGTGCAAAGTTGATCAGAATGTAATTATCTACAAGTCATTTTGTCGAAAAAAAATAAATAAGAAAAAGGCCAATAGGGCCGAACGTACAATGCTTTCGAGTGTGATTTTTTGGCCCTCGCATTTCTTGGGCTATATGCAATTAATATTTAGTAGGTATACCTACTGCGCAAAAAAACTAAAAAAAGTATGAAACTTTTTTGAAAGTTATATCAACATCTTAATCCTAAGTTTTAGGTGCTAATGGAAAGCTATGCTGAATCATTTCCACAAAAAATAAATTAAAGCCGCATACGATTTTCTCTATTACTATATGAATTCCACGAGATAGTTTAAAATTTTCTTAGGAATTTGCCCCGGAATTTGCTTAAATTTATTCCTACAATATGTAAAATATCCACCTTGGTTTGGTGTTTAAAACAAGGTTAAGGTCACTAGTAGTACTGAATACTCACCAGGCGATTGTAGTTCCATGGGGTCAAGATCCTCATCGCTTTCAGTTCCGGAGTCATGATCTTCACCGCCCTAAAAAATAATTAAAATATTCTTAATGCTGAAAACAATCTTAATTATTATGTAATAGACATTTTGTATTTATGGCGTGCGTTTTGCTGTTTTGACTATTACGACTGTCCGGTAGTCATATAAGCAAGATTTTAGTGAAGGTGAAATAGGCTACAAAACTTATATGGGTACTTTTTAATGGTTTTTGGTCAGCAAAGTAAGTAATGGCGCTAATAAAATGGAGCGATAAAGGGCTGTAGCAGCGAATTGAAGTCAACAACCGGCTACTCTTTCGTTTGGTAATTTCATGTTGCATTTTGTTATGTACATTTGAGTCAAATGTACCTCAACAATAGTTAGTGTCGATAATTAAAACGATTCGCAATATTATTGGACATTGCTTGTTTATGAAGTTTATTGAGTCAAGATGTTGTTTAAATCAAACTTAGGTGTAATGTCTTTTGAAATCTCGTATAAATAGGAAAATTCCTGTTTTCCGATACACATGGATTGTTTCGATACTATAGAATTCAATTCCACAAATAGACCTAATTTAAAAATAAACAAAGATAAATGTTGTTTATTAATAAATTTGATAAATCCAAAACAAATATAAAGAGTAAGGCACATGGTTAGTGAAGAGTTACTCAAGCGGAACCCATAATAATTATTATTTCACGCTTCAGCGGAAGAAAAATCTAGGGCTAGGCTGAGCACCCATTAGCGTAAATCTAAATTAATTATTATTTTTTATTGCCTAAGACACATAGTTTTTTTTTCCACCGATAAAAGGTCTGTTCACGACCTGTCAGAGCGAATTTATTGGTTGAAAATAGTCAGGATACTGTTTGTTGCAATCAAAAACACTCTCACTGGTTTGTGATTTCTGTGAGAACAGACCTAAAGTATAGTCGTTCGTGGATTTAGTGTGCGAAATTCAATTTTTCATCAGGATATTGATTTTTTGTTTAACTTTTTATTTATTCAAGATCAAAAAACAACTTCTTGGAAGAATCATGTGATCAAGTTAATAGAAGTTTGGGTTAGCAAACAAAGCGTGGAAACTTCTAAAGGGCATGAGAAGGGAGAACACTGATTCAGCTAGTAAAAATCTCATAGACTTTGAGAAATGGACAAACTACTACAGAGAACTACTAACAGAAGATAGACCACAATTTCAAACCGATCGAATTGGAAACGACGAGATGATAAACGCCTGGACTCCAAAAATATTACCACGGGAAATAGTACAAAATGCATTAACTCATATGAAAAACGGAATGACTGGTGGGCCAAAAGCCGCCTCAGTAAAACTAATGGAGATCGTTTCGAAGATCTTCACCAAATGTCTTCAAGGAGAATAACCGCCACTAGACTAGAGGGAAGGGTTAATCTCATCTATCTTCATTAAAGGGAATAGATTGGGCTGTAAACACTCTAGAGGCATCATCATCACAAGGTCAATAGCCAAATTGCATATAGCTACGTATTCTGTATTCTGAAAAACAGAATAGAAATCGAGTTCCAAGAAATTGTAAGTATAGCATTTTGTCTGACAACCACAAAATTTAGGTGAATAGTTATGACATAAACTCATGTTTTTCTCTAATGGGACATCTAGTATATTATTGCATTTTTAGGTTCTCCGGCAAATTCTAGATATGTTTTGTGATGCCCTATACTCATTTGCACATTCCTTTCGTAGTTTTTCATGGGCTATCCAATGACGTCAGCTTTAAATTCAACCTGCTGCGCTTATGAAATACGTCAATGGTGAAGTTCGCGACAGTATATATTTTTTTTTAGCGAGACTTTTGCGGACACATGCACCTATGCAAAAAGTGATTGTCCTATTATACACTATCTGTCATAACAAAACTCGCACTTATTTCGGACTCACCCTGTATATATCCTAGTATATTAAAAAATTCTAAGTATTAAATCTACAATGAAGAATAAACAGACTATATGAAGTTAGAATTTTTTCTTTATTAAATAAAGGCTTCCAGTGATATCTACTGTTAGCACCACAGATGTAGCAAAAAGCTTCTGTAATATAAAAACAAGAGGCCAACAGGTTCTGGGAACATAACCCCCAAAAGCAGATACCATATCTTAGCCTTGACACAACCAAGGCAAAATGGATCGATCTGGACTTTTGGACACAAGGAACGTCCCAGTTCAATGGCCGTTATTCTGAGGTCTATAAACCTAGCAGTCCCAAGGTGGAAAAAAACTTAGGTGCATTTTAGGTGCTAATTAGGGCCTCTATTTAAAAATTAGGTGCTCCTTTAGTTTTTGAGAAAATCAAAAAAAAAAAACTAAGGGACTGCTGGGTTTATAAAAGCTAGCAGTCCCCTATTGTAAAAAATATTTTTTTCAAATTACTTCTTTGTATCAGAATTAGGTGCTTTCAGGTGCTCCTAAATTGTCCAAGAAAAAATAGAATTGATTAATTATTAACTGAGTTACAGATTTTTTTTTAATTATTAGGGGACTGCTGGCTTTACGTCTACTTGTTGGTGTGTGAGAATGGCAAAAAAACTTCGGGATCTATATAATAATTAGGTGCTTTTAAGGTGCTAATTAGGGCCTCTAATTAAAAATTAGGTGCTCCTCTAGTTTTTGAGAAAATCGAAAAAAACTAAGGGATTGCTAGGTTTATGAAAGCTAGTAGTCCCCTATAGTGAAATAGCTATTTATACAATAAGTTACGAAATGAGCGTCTTTTAGGCACGCGACGTGAAAATTGTCCAACGAGGCAAAGCTGAGTTGGACAACACAGAATTAGGTGCTTTTTAGGTGCTCCTAAATAGTCCAAGAAAAAATAGAATTGATTAATTATTAACTGAGTTACAGATTTTTTTAAAATTATTAGGGGACTGCTGGCTTTACGTTTACATGTTGGTGTGTCAGAATGGCAAAAAAACTTCGGGATCTATGCAGGGTGTCCCACGGTGGATTGCGTATTAGACGTTTATGGAGAACTAAAAAGCGGATCATTTTGAAAATTTGGCAACCGGGATAAACGACCATGATCTACACTTTAAAAATATTTTTGACCATACGGTGTTGCCGCTTCTACTCTAAACTAGTGGCAACATCACTATTTTAAATGGAACACCCCGTATGTGATTGCATATTTGGATTCTACGTAAAATTCTGAGCAGATTTCATGTGATATACCCTATACCTAAGTTCAACTGTTTTGGAAATATTGACAGTTGAAAATTGACTTTTTGCAACTTTGACAGGCTGTAAAACCTGAACGGTTAATTTTAGAGGAAAACCGATTTTACATTCCTATCTCAGATTTTTATAAACTATCATTTGACACCAACTTTGAATTAAATCCATGATTAAAAATTCCAGTTAAATTTAATCTCCGGTTAAGTTCAAAGTTGGTGTCAAATGTTAGTTTATCAAAATCTAAGATAGGAATGTGAAATCGGTTTTCCTCTAAAATTAACCAATTAGGTTTTACAGCCTGTCAAAGTTGCAAAAAGTCAATTTTCAACTGTCAATATTTCCGAAACAGTTGAACTTAGATATAGGGTATATCACATGAAATCTGCTCAGAATTTTACGTAGAATCCAAATATGCCATCACATACAGGGTGTTCTATTTAAAATAGCGATGTTGCCACTAGTTTAGAGTTGAAGCGGCAACACCGCATGGTCAAAAATATTTTTAAAGTGTAGATCATGGTCGTTTATCCCCGTTGCCAAATTTTCAAAATGATCCGCTTTTTAGTTCTCCATAAACGTCTAATACGCCATCCACCGTGGGACACCCTGTATAATAATTAGGTACTTTTTAGGTTCTAGTTAGGGCCTTTAATTAAAAATTAGGTGATCCTCTAGTTTTTGAGAAAATAAAAAAAAAACTAAGGGATTGCTAGGTTTATGAAAGCTAGTAGTCCCCTATAGTGAAAAATATTTTTCCAAAAATTTCTTTTGTATCAGAATTAGGTGCTTTTTAGGTGCTCCTAAATAGTCGTAGAAAAAACTAGAATTGATTAATTATTAACTGAGTTACAGATTTTTTTTTAATTATTTGGGGATTGCTGGATTTACGTTTACATTTTGGTGTGTTAGAATGGAAAAAAACTTCGGGATCTATATAATAATTAGGTACTTTTTAGGTGCTAGTTAGGGCCTCTAATTAAAAATTAGGTGCTCCTTTAGTTTTTGAGAAAATCAAAAAAAACTAAGGGACTGCTAGGTTTATGAAAGCTAGCAGTCCCCCGAGGGGTGAATAGCTCTTGCAGTCGGTGTACATATTTCTCACAATCTTCACACAATCATTCACAATCAGATCACAATCGTTCACAATCTGTCACAATCGTTACACAATCACACACAATCGTTACACAATCACACACAATATCTCACAATCGTGTCACAATCTCTCACAATCGTTGCACAATATCTCACAATCGTTACATAATCTCTCACAATCGCAACACAATCTACCACCATCTGTCGCATGTGAGGTCCCTATAAATAGTTTTATCTACGCCAGTGAGTTGAGAAGCTCTTAACTCACGCATTTCGAGTGAGTTAAGAGCTTCTTAACTCACGCATTTTCATTACCGCACCCAGTGAGTTAAAAAGCTCTTAACTCACACATTTTGAGTGAGTTAAGAGCTTCTTAACTCACGCATTTTCATTACCGCACTCTTTCTTAGGTTTTTGAAACTATAGTATCAATATTATTTACTATCAAATTGATATGAAACCATGCATGGTGTTATCGTGTTTTCATGGTAATTTGGTCAAGTTTATATTCTTATTTGAACAAAAGGTATTGAGGTGATTCAGGTAGCTGGTTTGTAGAAGAGGTATTACAATTATTATTAAAATTAATTTTTTTTGTGTTTTTAAAGTTAAGAGCGTATGGCGTAGATAAAATATTGTACAATACACGTGAGTTAACCCTCATCAAGATACTTGTGTGGTTACACAACTCCTGCTACGCACTCATTTTGCAACTTCCACACGCGTATCTTAATGATGCT